GTTGGTCAGTCAGTTTCCTGTTCATTTTCCATTGAGGATGTCTTGATTTCTATTTCATTACTCAGGCATTCTTTCATCAGATATAGAACTTTGGACTGACTACACTACTATTCTATGAGCATTTGAAAATGTGACACTTCTTTTGTCTTCCGTAGTTTCTGAGGTGAAATCCACTGTCATTCATTTGGTTTTCCCCAGTAGGTCAGGTGTTGTTTCTCCAGCTCTGCTTTTAAGATTCTATGTCTTTAGTTTTCATAATTTTCATTATGATGTGTTTTGACCCTGATTTCATTCCGTTTATTCTGTTTAGGGTTTGCTCAGTTTCTTGAATGTGTAGGTTAATGGCATTTGTTAAAGTTGGGGAAATTTTCAATTGTTATTACTTTGAATACCTTTTCAGCCCAACCTTTTCTCCTCTCCTTCTGCAACACCAATGATAGAAATATTATTATCATTTAAGTCTCACAGAGCCTGAGGTTCTATGCATTTCTTTTCAGTCTAAATTAGCCCTGTTATTCAGAATGGATAATCTTTATTTTCTTTAATTATTTTTTATATCATGTTTATTTTCTGCCACATTCTATTTGCTGAGGTTTTCATTTGTGGCTAATTGCTCATGAAGCATTTTGATGATGGCTGCTTTAAATAATTCCTAGATAATTTTAACATTTGTTTCACTTTGGTGTTGGCATCTATTGTTTTTTTCTTAAACAAGTTGAGAATTTCATGACTCTTGTTATTTATTTTTTTTTACTGAAACTTATTTTAGGTATTATGAAATTCTAGACCTTATCTAAATTGGTTTAGTAGACCTCCTCTGACACCACGTTGATGGGGAAAGAGGTACTCACTTCACCTATTACTGTCAGGTAGAGTTAGAAATCTAAGTTCCTCATTCTGCCTCTATTAAAAATCCAGGGCGGGTGGGTGCAGTGGCTCACGCCTGTAATTCCAGCACTTTGGGAGGCCCAGGTGGGCGGATCATGAGGTCAGGAACTCGAGACTAGCCTGACCAACATGGTGAAACCTCTTCTCTACTAATAATAAAAGAATTAGCTGGGTGTGGTGGTGCGTACCTGTAATCCCAGCTACTCAGGAGGCTGAGGCAGGAGAATCACCTGAACCCTGGAGGTGGAGGTTGCAGTGAGTTGAGATTGTACCACTGCACTCCAGCCTGAGTGAGACTCCATGTCAAAAAAAAAAAAAAATCCAGGAGAAGAGGTGTATCTGAACATCCAGAGTGGGAGTTTACGCTTCTTACTAGGAATGGAAAGGGATTCTTCGTCACCAGTTCAAGTGACAGTCTTGGCTCCCAGCTCCCAGCTCCTACTTGGGGAGCCTTTGCTGCTGGAGGTGGAGGTGGGGCCATAGCAGCTGTGTTGTCTAAAGTCAGAATCTTTTACTGTTTGTTTTATAAGACCTAATGTTGTTAGCTATACTTACCAGGAGGAGTGGGGGAAAGTACATCTACTCCATCTTTCCAGAAGTTGATCTCCTAATCATTGTTTTCTAATCAAGTCACCAACAAATACAATTATTCACTTCCTTTAAATTGGCCTCACATGCTTTAGAACACAAATACTTATTTACTAGTCATTAATCATTTTAGCATATATTTATTTCAAATTAGAGTCAAATAAAATAGTGAAATATTCTATATTTTCCCTAGTATTTTTTTCCTGTTAACTGTTAAATCAAAATGCTCTATTTGGAATATTGATTCTCTTTTGTAGTAGTAGAGATTTTCATAGAATATACATTTTGAAATATTTTGCAAGCATTTTTTCCTGAATCAATCTAAACTAACGTGGCAAAGTTTTTAAAAAAATTACTTACAACAAGAAAATGTGTTCTATGCATCATGTAGCCTTAAAATATCTATTTTTATGAAGTTCCTAATTGCCTTTTATATTGTTCAAATATATTTGGGACACTTTGAAAATTCCTTTGTGAAAGACTTCTGGTTTGATGTGTTAAAATAGAGTCCCAGCTCTAGGTATACTTTTTCATTGGGCTTGAGAAGGATACATTGTTCAACATGATTTAAATTACCTAGAGTGTGCACAAATTTAAAAAAATAGTGTTTTCTGTTTAGTCCCTTTATTCTTACTTTTAAACAACTATTAAAAATAAAAAGCATGACAATGTTTTCCAATACTTAAATTTTTAATGCACAAAGTACTATTTTATTCAATTTAATTGCATATTAGATATATCTTTTGAGTTACATGCAACAGAAAATACTTTTTAAACATTCCTATATAGACATTTTATGTTCTATTTACACAGTACAGAAAGGCCTTGAGAATTTAGGCACATATGCTTAAAAAGGAAAATATTATAATTATTAGAAAGTATGTCATAATAAATCCATGATCCTTGATTTAAATAAAAGTAAAGATTATGACTGTATTTCTATCTTTAAAAGTACAGGGTTAATATAATGCTGTAGTTATAAACATTTTGTGCCATGTTTTTGCAGCATTAAATAGTATTATAGTTACATACGTAACAAATTTAACATTTTCATTTCTTTATCAAAACTTTAGAAAAAATAAGAATTTGTGCTACATTATTTTCTAAAGTAAATTAAAAATTAAATAGCAAAATCAGTTTTTATAAACAAAGATTTTAAACGTAAAATCTTTGCAAGGATTTTTATAATAAATAAAAAATAATATACAGATTTTAACCAACACCCTAAACAATGTCCCTAGTGTTTTCCCATCGAGGAAATGAAAAACAGATAAGAAAAATGTTGCAGGTTAACATGTGATTAAAAGTAATTTTGACAATGTTATTCATCAATTATTTTCACTGACTTCATAAGCAAATTTTATTGTAAAAGCATAATCACGCATTCATGATTCACTGAGAATCACATAGACATTATTATTATGGCACATGAATCAGAAGATATGCAAGTCCAGCGAATTCTCCAGTGCATTCCACAGGCCAGCAAAAACATGACTTTCTTTGCCAGCTTCTCTTACAATTTGTCAATCATACTTTTGAACTACAATAAATCTTAACCATATTAGATGATTTTGAAAATTAATAAAACTTGAAGCTTACTAAACTGTCTCATTATAGGCACTTTATAGTGACACTCACCTGACATTTACTTAAAATGGATGGCTATTTCCCTGTCTTTACTAAAAACGGCTATTTCCCTGAAAGTTGACTTTTATCATTTACTTGCTGCCGATGCTACTGCTGTGTCTAGGGCAGACCATCCATAATGCACTTAAATTCTCTCTGCAGGCTAAACATGCGACCAGAAGGTATTTTCTCCCTGTTGTCTTGATGAAATTATAAATAGCACATTCTTTCATTTTCAGTGGTTGGATGATAAATTTTATGGTCACCCTCTCAATTTATAAGTAAAATTAGAAAAAAAGAAAAAAGAAAGAAAGAGTTCTAAAGCATGTAAATGTGTCTTGATTCCCCAGGACCCCTATAGGGATACAAGAATGCCAAAGCATGGATTCCATAAAAATTCCATGGAATTTATGATATAACTGATGAGCTGAAAGGAATAAAATTTATGTTAAAAAATACAGATGATAGATAATAGCCTCATTTTCTAAGAAGCATGTAACTTGCAGGCCAAAACTGTCCAACATGGTGGTTAAGCCTAGGCTCTTCAGGACTCCTTGAATGTGAATCTCAGCTCTAAATACTTATGGACAGGTTGACTTTAGGCAGCTTACCTAATCTCTCTAAGCTGGAGTTTCCTCACCTATAAAAAAGTAGATATTAATTGTTTTTATAGCATAGGATCATGTGTGCATTAGGTGAACAAAATGTCTCAAAGCATTTTGCACTGTGCCCATCACATGCCATGCACTCAGTGTCAGTTGTTATTATTATTATCCTTAGTGAAGCATAATTCAATTGGTAAACAGGGCATGTAACTGACCTTCTGGATACAGTGCAGATACATTCGTAAGTATCACATAAAAGAAGGGCCCTTAGTTTTAGTTCTAGTTTTCTTTTTCTCAATATTAGAGTAGGATAAAGTCACGATTGATTAATAAAAATAAAAATAGACATTATGTAAGTCTGTGTAACTTAAGATTCTAAAATAATTGAGTCATTCTTCTATTTTCACTTATTAAATTAGTATTTATTCAGAGTATAGTACAAGCAGGTCATTTTAATTAATACTGTAACACATACTTGAACTTATTTCCACCTACAGATGAACAATGCTAATAAGGAATAAGTCCCCAATTCTTTGCATAAATTTGTTCAATTAGACAAAATGAAAAAAATGCTTTCAGTCATAAAAACCAAACTATGAAACTTTGAAAAAACTTATACCTTTTAAGATTAAGTTTTGAATTGGATCTGAGATATTCTGAAGTATACTGGCGGGGAGAGTGGAATGAAGTTAGTGGAGTGAACACAAACATCAACTCTCGACAGTACAATGTAAAGGAATACAATCACTAAATTTCATGGGGAACAGAAACAGGGTCTTCCTCTGTCTCCCGGCCTGGAGTGCAGTGGTAATCGTGGCTCAGTGCAGCCTCAAACTCCTTGGCTCAAGTAATCCTCCTGCCTCAGCCACCCAAGTAGCTGGAACTACAGGCAAGCACCATGCCTGGCTAACTTCTTTTTTATTTTTTATAGAGACAGGGCCTTACTATGTTGCCCAGGCTGTTCTCAAGCTCCTATCCTCACGTGATCCATCCTCCTTGGCCTCCCAAAGTCCTGAGATTACAGGTGTGAGCCACCACACCTGGCCTAAAATTCTTTACGTTTAAAACCAATGCATTATATTATTAGAATAAAGGATAAAAATAAGGTTTGCATTTGTACCGTCCATGAAACATGATGAACAAGAAGAATTTAAATAAGTTGAAAGCAACATAATCTGTGTAATAGTTTAGGAATTAGAATTCCTTTTGGTCATAAAACATTATTTCATTATTAAAGAAAATATGACTGAAACTTTATTCTATGTGTTTTTCAAATAGAAGCAAATACTGAAATTATAAAAGTTTATTTTTCTTTATTAGAATATTTCTTCAATTCCGATTTGTCATAATTTAGATTGTTTTTCTAGGAATAAGTAGAAATTTAGAAAATTTAATTTTTATTTATACATTTATCCATTCAATACACATTTCAAGACATCTCTATTGCATCCTTTGTGGTAGCTACAGGACAAAGAAATAAAATAATCCAAGAGAGACCAAGAAATGTATATTTATAACACAGTAATAAAAACAAATAAATGTGGAGTTATTTAAAAATGTAGGATGATACATTCTCTACTGGGTACAGGGACTTCTACAAGACACAAGATCAGATTAAAGTCTTAAAAGATAATCTGGGGTTAGTCAAGCAGGTAGAAGTATGAAGAGCACTTTCTAAGTGGAATCTCCGTGTGCCAAGTCTAGCTCAAGAGACTGGATAGAGAACAGCAATTTGGAGCATGTGATATTAAGAAATGGCGAAGGTGAGCCTACAGAGATTCCACGTGGTACCTGTCACTTTAAGTTGCATAGTGAGGTTTGTGTTTGAGAAAGTGGACTCAGGGCAGCCATGCAAAAGAGGGATTGATAGAAAAGGAGCCTGAGGTAGGAAAGTCAAGGCATTAACTGTTGTAGCTGGTGTGAGCAGACTTGGGGAGGCAATGGGGTGGATTCATGAGCTACTAAAAAGGTCAAAGGAGCAGGGATTCCTGACCCGTAAGTATTACAATTCATACAGAAGAAGAAAATATCACAATGAGTTCTAGATCTGGGCCTGAGCAGCTAGATGTTTGGATAATAACAAAAAGACTGCAAAAGAAGATCTGCACTTTGGCATAAATGAATTTTATGCCATCATTAAATCTACTTATTATGCTGAAAATCCTTGTTAGCTGGAAAGATTAAAAGAATTTCCCAATGTGCCTAATACATAAACTTGGAGTAGTTTTCCTACTTCAGCTTTTATGCTGCTTATCATTTGTAGTCAATTTATGGTTGGTCAGTTTTTGTTAATCCATTTATCATCTTTATGAGATTGGTTAATGGAAGCAGTCCATTTTTAATCCAATAGTGGTGATTTTCTAGAAGACCTCTAGAAAGACTATTAAAAGCCAAAAATCAACTTTAATTTTTGAGTACTTTTTCTACTTAAGGTTACTGAAATAAATTCTTTGCTAGAAAAAACTAAATAGTACTGCCAATTTAAAATTCAATTTATTATAGAAATATTTCCGATTATTTTATCTTCAGGAAGCAATTCTTCTTACTTGAAAACTGTATCAGCTTCAATGGTTAGTGGTAGTAAAATGGAAGAATGCATACTGCAGATGAGCTACATATTTGTTTTCTTGTGTTCTATAGTCCCCGTCACAAATACACTTTTTTGAATTGTATTTAGTCAAACAGCAGGTTTGACTAATAGTTCTCGGAATTCAAATAGTTTAGATTAATTAACCTGATTGGTTATCTGCCATTATATGGATATCACCCAAGATGATGTTGTTAAAATAATAATGAATTAAACTAAAATAAATGCATGGCCCTAAGACCAATAATAAAAAGCAGTTTGCCATTACCCGGGAATGTATTCAAGTTCAACAAACTTATATGTTGAGTTAATATGCTTTAAAACAAAATACTGCATTTTGCTATAGCAACAAAGTATTGAGCAGCTTCCAAGTCACTACCTTATGTGTATTCTTCATAGTAGCAATATTGGTAAACATTAGTTATATAATTTTCATCACCAAAATTTTATATTTTTCTTAGCCAATACATGGAATAAGTTTTTATAAAGTATTTCTTTCAAATCATTGAATTCTTCCTCCCTAACCTTTAAATCCCCTAGTCACCAAGAATCATGGGTTCCTCACCATCACTCTTTGCTTCTGTTCTTAAAGTTGTTGCTCCATGAGCAGTGGGACACTGGACCCACAAGCCCCAAGGACACATCATGGTCATTTACCTGGTACCCTGTGGCATGATTTTAATATTTCAAGCACTGACAACTTTTCACATCGATTCAGATTTCATAAGATTTGATTACAGTGAGTTTATAAAATATTTCAGTTATATACGCAATAGAAACGAAGTATCCTATTTTTGAAGATAAGTCTAAGGCATTCACAGCAATATAAAAGAAGTACTTTAGTACTTCTGGATTTCAGTCAAAGGAATTATTATTGTAAAGCTCTAATAATACATGTTTAGATATTTAACCAGCCATAGATACCAGAAAGCCAGGTATTAAATCAAAGACACCAGGAAACTATGAGTCACAAAAGCATCAGTGTAGCAGTGCTGCATGTATTACACAATATGGACCTGCACCCTAAAACATGAGCAATTGTATACCTTAGGGAGTTCAAAACCCTACTTAAAGACCAAGAAGCACTTGAGCCAGGTGGGGAAAGCAGTATTTATGAGTGGAATAAAGACTGGGAATTTTGCTTTTTTTAGTGACAGAGCTTTAGGGCAAGCACGCAGTTTTACTTATTTGCCTTAAGTCAATATTTCCAGATAAAAGGTACGTTTTTCTTGCGGAGATTGTAAAATAACTATCACTAGCAAATGCAGAAAGTATTCATTCCAGCTTAGTAAAGACATACTTTTTCACTATCACAGAAAGACGGTCTTTACATGAAAATTGTTACACATAAGTCTATAATAAACGTGATTTTTAAAAAAAAAATAACTTTCTAAGACAAATGTCAAAGGCTTTCTTTTCCGTGAATTCTTTGGTAATAAACAAGTTTTGAGTGATTTCTGTTCTATGAAGTATTAAGTGATTTTGCTGATGCCTTTCTGTGTGTCCTTTGAAGATCAGAATATAATTAATTTTATTCTGATCGAATATATTTTTTCGGATTTGCATTGCTTTTATGTAACATAATTACAAAATGAAAATATACCTTTAGAACTGAGATAGCATATATTATTGATGAAGCTCCTGCTAAGCATGTTGCATAAGCTTTTCATCCTTTTAAAACTAAAAACTCAGAGGCTCGTAACAGGAAGTATAAACAAAGCTGAAATGTGAACTCTGTTTATAGTCTCATGATTCTTGACATGATGTTTTGCATTCACTGGCCCGTAGATTCCTGAGTTAAATAAAGCATATGAAACATAATTAGTATGTTCTGGTTATTCTATAGTAACTTACTATCGCTTTAGCAAAGCAAAAAGTAATGGGAAGTGAGGGATCCAATCTACGGCCAAAACAAAGAGCTCCTATTCTAATGTTAATGAGCTAAGAAATTTTTAACCCAATCTGCAAAAAAAGTTAGCTAGTGTGCATAAGTTTACACCCCCAAATATATGGCAATATATAAGAATAAAATAATAGAAAATCTAGAAAATTTGAGAGGAAAACAAATAAAGCTACATGAAAAACTAAAAGAAACTAGCTCATGGTGATGAAATAAAATATACAGCCAGCACAAAAGATTTACTTCTGGATTGGTGGCTAAGTGTCTTCTGGTGAAAAAAGATAGTATTTATTTTTGTATAACTATTCTGTAGATTTTCCCCTACAATAGTGTGAACAAGCATATTCAAGCAAATCATAAATGACCAGGTTTTTTACGGAACTAAAAAAAAAAGTAACTGATTAATAGACAGCCTATGTATATTGAATTTTACCTTTTATTTGGAATATCACTCAGAAGTAACTTACATTTTTTCTGAGCCTAGGAACATTATTTTCTATACCATTGCTATCATCTGATTTCCTGAATAGAAAACAAAAAAGAAAATTACTAAATGTTTATATTACATAAAATTAAGTCAGTACATCACTGATATCATGACTATCAGGTTAAAATGTAAAATGTCAATACAGACAGAATTCTTTTTTCCTAAAAGTGTTTTACTTATAATGTTGAATATATTTTGATGACATTGCTTGAAGAGGAGCTGTTACCACAGATAATAGTGACAAAGGCTTATTGATTTTATGCATAGGGAGAATTGCTTCTCCCCAAGCACGAGTGAGGACTTTGGCATAAAGACCATAACTGATGTGTGGTTTTGGAAGCATGCAAGGTAACAGCTAATTAGGAGGTCAGCCAACATGTGTGATTTGGGTGCTATATATTTGTATGCTTATTACACTGAATTAGTGGTTAAACACGGTGCTTTTTCCACCCAAAGTTCATCAGAGCAGCACTACAAATGTGGGCCTCAGATTCTAAAGATGAACTAAAACTAAATAACCAGTATGCATAATGAATACCTTGTCCTTCAAGGTCTTGGGGCAGGCTTCAAGTATCAAATCATAACACATATCATAAGACAGTGTTACTTATAATTAACTAATAATATTTTCTAAAAAAAAAAAAGAAAAGGAAAAAGAAATCCCACTGAGTCCTTCTTTTTCTTTTGTGTGTACTCCTCAAAAGCAAAATAATGGCCACTAAAAAAACCACCTCAGCAGCTATTGCAAGAAATGGTTTGAGGGGCATCAAAACACTCATTGCTCTGAATGAGTTCAAGTGCCCCTGATATTTGTATACAATCTAAAGATAGTGAAATACCCTAAAGATGAGAAAAACTAAACCCCTTCAGTGATCTTTATGGTGCTGTACATGATGAGTACAAGATGTACATTATCCCAACTTTCGGAAAAAAATTCATTTTTTACACTATAGATTGAATCAATTTTACATTGTTTAGAAGTGATAGTCCATTCTACACTGTTCTGGCACCATCCTTTCAGAGTGTGTTTTAAATTAGAATACAACCACCAAATGTGAGCTAGAGGAATGGTTAGAGACGGTGGGAGGCAGAGCTGGGAGAATAGAGGAATCTGAGCTAGGTTCTGTCTTCGAATATGTCAATGACTGTCATGTTTTTTATATGACGCTAAGAATAAGAAAAAGACCAATACATGGAAATCAGAAAGATTTAAAGTTCAAATCAACATAAATAAGATGTTTATATTCTCCAGAAAGATAAGGGATTGTCTTGGAAGAGATATAATTCCCTTCCAACTATAAGAGTCTATGATTCTAAGACAACACTATTTTTTCCTATTGGGGGTTACAGGATTTCTGATATAGTTATTTTGTACCCTTAATTTGGAAGCTCATATCACGTTGGTTTATGGTACCAGCCTACGTCAACAGAGTAAACATGATTATTTCAATAATGTCTACAAACATCTAAATAACAACTGTGTGCACCAGTCCAGGTATCTGTGTCTGTAACACTCACTCCACAGAGCTCCTGTTGGCTGATAAACTCTAAGTGCCATTTTGTGTTGGGAATAGTTGCTCAGGCCTTCCACTTCTCAGGTTTTTTAAAGCAACTTTAATCTAGCCTCGTTTTCCTGGTCCCCAGCCCTTGGCTCTGTTGCTCAGACATTATCCCAGTCTTAGGCACCTCTGTTACTGGCCTCCACACTCAGTTCTCTGGCTTGGAGGAACTAGGAACTCCCATCTTTGCCAAACTAAATTACATCCCTGGTGATTTTATTCCCAGACCTCCTCATGCTTAACTCTAAACAAAGGAGGCTGTGTAAGACAAACTGTGGCACAATTTATGTTCTCTGAATAACAATAACTAGTAGAATTCTAGGCCAGTGATTTTCAACAGACGGAGGATCAAAACCATGTTAGATGTTTTCAAGAAATATAGATGCCATAGGCCGAACCCAAGAGCTTCTGATCCAGGAGATTCAGTAAGCTTCTGATCCAGTAAGCTCTGAGCAACTTTATTTTTAAAAAGACTCTTAAGTGATCAAAGCAGCCTGGGTTGAGAATGATTGCTTTAAAGAAATAATATTAAATACTTCCTAATGGTTACTGTACACCTTCTGTGCACCAAAACCTATGCTATGCATTTATACATATATGGTATTCATTCCATCCAACAGTCTCATGTGGTAAATAATATTATTAAACCTATTTTGTAGCGGAGAAAGCAGAAGTCTAGAGCAGTGCAGGCAGTAAGTGATGTAGAGGGATTCTCATGCAGGCAGTTAGACTCGGAATGCCACTTTTCACCACCACATCGATGTATATAGAAAATTCTCCTCCGGTTTTTTCCCCCCTAACTGCAAACATTTCAGTCAATTTTATATTTCCCTGTATTTTACTCAAGTGAAAAATAATCTGTAAAGAATAATACTCACAGCTGTTCAATCTGCTCAAATTCTCTCCCCTCATCTGTGTAAAAAAAGAATTTTACTATGAAGTTGATTTGTCATTTTTATGGAACACGTGCTCAATTAAACCTCCTTCCTAAGAAAGTACTGTGCTCTTTCTCCTGTTTGAAATGAAGGAGAGACATGACACCTTAGACAGCTACAGCTCCTTCATCTGCACTACCGACCTCATCTGCTTTTCTAATCAAACATAGTTTACTGGCCTGGTATTTTCAAAAATATGACTGATTAGTTTGTCATTATTTAAATTATTAAAATTTAGTACAAAATCAGGAAAGAATACAGGATGTAAGGTCAATTTTCTCGAGGGATTATGGCTTTCTCAACCTGTAACCCTTCAGGCACACACTGCAAAAATAGAAAAATAGGAAATGGCAGGACAGTGGTGTGTTTTTTTTGTTTGTTTGTTGTTTTTTTTTTTTCTTTTGAGGCAGTTTCGCTCTGTCACCCGGGCTGGAGTGGAGTGGCACGATCTTGGCTCAGTGCAACCTCTGCCTCCCGGGTTGGAGGGATTCTCCTGCCTCAGCCTCCCAAGTAGCTGAGATTACAGGCGCCTACTACCACATCCAGCTAATTTTCTTTGTATTTTCTGTAGAGACGGGGTTTTACCATCTTGGCCAAGCTGGTCTCAAACTCCTGACCTCATGGTCCAACTGCCTCAGCCTCCCAAAGTGCTGGGATTATAGGCATGATCCACTGCACCCAGCCAGGACAGTCTCTCTTTGATTAGGAACTTTGGAATCGTTAATAAAATATTTTTTGAAATGATTATCTAAGTGAAAGAAAAATTGTTTCTTTGAGATCTTTGATATTAAGCTATCAAAGATTTTTCTAATATTCCAGTGCCAGAATACATGTCACCTAATTGGTGCTTAGGTACCAGTAGCACCAAAAAAGGGGAGGGTGGGGTGGGGGAGAGAAAGGAAAAAAAGGCATTTTTAATACTAAGTTTTTACAGAAACTGAAACAGAAAGATCATTGATATATGTTCCTAACTCACTGTCACCAATACTGCTCCGCATAAGAAAATTAATATTTTTCCCCAAAAATCCTAAAGTCATTGAAATGTATCAAATCATAATCCAAATCATAAGTAAATGACGCTTATAATTAACTGATAATATTTTCTAAAATAAAGAAATCCCACCTGAATGCTTCTTGTTCTTTTGTGTGTACTTTTCACAAAGCAGAATGATGGCCACTAGAAGAACCACCTCAGCCACTATTGCAAAAAATGGTTTGAGGGGCACAAATAGCTCAGCACCACAAGCTCAATGTGTCCTTCACTCTCGCCTAATTGGAAGAGTGCACGGCACCAGTAAGATCCCCCATCTTCCTCCAACAGTTGTTTTATCTTCAGCTTTGTTTCGTTAGCATATGTGTCATTGATCACATACTTATTCATTTGAACACCAACAGGAACCTAATATAAGGAGACATTAAAATCCATTCCTATCACAGTATGTAAAAGATACATGATGTAGTTTTTGAGCGAAAGCTCTAAGATAATGCCAACAAAATTGTTTACTAGAGAAAGGCATATTAAAATGTGTGAGAGGTTATTTATAAAAGACTTAAGTCTTATCAGAGTCTGATCTCCCAGGGAGCAAAGAAAAGATGTATACATTGCTGTAAGGATTTAGCACTGAATGTTTAAAACTACAAAGAAGCAAGTAGGTCATCATGGCTAAATATTACATAAGAATTAAAAACAGAAAAATCCCAGTCACCTGAGTCTCACATTCCTATCCCTGCCTAGTGCCTTAGTCAAAGTACTTTTTTCTTCACAAGCACAGAGGCACATTCAAACAACTACCACCCTCGAAGCTACTATTTCTGATCATTCCTATAAAGGAAAATCACTCATCTGGACAATGGGATTTCCCCAGGCTGGAAATGAAGATGAGATGTTCAGGCCTTTGGAGCTGATATAGATAGACTACAGGGAACCCTCTGTGGGCCTAGGGTCCGAAGTGAACTGCACACCTTCTATCTTTACATAAATGAATTTCTTTGTCTCTCAGATAAGCTGGCTTCTAAGATTTCCTGGGTTTTCCACAGCCTCACAAGGTTCCATAGTAAGCTATTTAGGTCTGTTTTATTTAATCTATTTAAATTAAATTTTATTCCCAAGCCATTGGATGCTTTCCGTGCTCCATGATTCAACTGCACTGCTCAATAAACAGTAATCTGGATCCATATATTCGCAGAGATTATCCAAGGAAGAACTGTCTGTGACTATATTATTTGTGCAAAAAAAATTACAGCGATCTGGCACCATGTTCACGGCTCTGTCTGGGATGTTTGGTACTGACTGATCACAGCTGATCAATCAAAGTACCATATTTTTAATAAGTACCCAGCTGCTTTTGATGCACATGGTTGGTCTATATTTGAATAGGCATTTGTGCTAAAGTTTTGACCTATGCCCTATTCCCTGAACTTTTCTCACACCCTAATACAACTCATGCTTAGAATCAAATTAAGAGGATAATTACTAGAAAAGCAATGGACAGAAGCACCGGTACATCTAAAATGACATTTTCAACATCTGATATAATTAGATGGAGGCTAATATTTTTCACGTATTGTTCTATCACATGCATATCAATAAAGCTGTGGATTTCAAATACCACAGTTGACATTTGTTTTTACAAATTTACACTTTAAAAAAATTACATATACACAATGATTGCCTTTCCTCAACATCCACCAGAAGACAAGTGGGAGTAGGTATGGCTTACGTCTACATCTATGGGATTTGGTTGAAGCTATTTCATTGAAAAACTAAACCTGTTGCCACAGAATCAGTCACATTCCCTTCTGAGTCCTTTATCTGTCATCCAACAATAGTCTATAATAACACCAATTCTGTCTAAAAAGGAATTTAATATTTCATTGTAACATCTACACTCTCTCCTATGTTCCTTTTAGAATTATAGCTCGCCTTTAATGGAACTTCGATTGTAATGCTTATTAGCACCAGGGCAAAAGAAGGGTGTCTGTTAAAGGACAATGTCCTAAATTTTCCTGCCATTAGAGGCCATTTGGAAAGAAGACAGGAAACCAGAAATTATTTACAAAATACTCATGTTTTTCTTAGTATCAACTCTTTGAATAGCCATTTCTTTTAGTAAAAAAGGAATTAAAAGTATTTGGCTTCTGTCAGGTATGTTAAAGGCTATAAAAAAAAATGGCACTTACTGATAGAACCCCAAGATGTAAGTTTAAGTTAAAAAGTTTTCATTCCTTTCTCAAATAGTACCATTATTTTGCATTCTATCACAGATAGTTCAGGAGCAGAAGCCCAAAAAGGTGGCTGGCATTTTTTCTAGTTACGTTCATGGAATGATTTTTAAAAAGAATCTTTTCTGATGGCATTATTTCTAAACTAGACAACTAAACATGAAATGTAACTTCTTTTCAAATAATGTAACTTGTTAAACCTAAAAAACAAAGTACCAGGTAATGAAACGTGAAGAGTATCTTCATATGTACAATGTAAACATGCCAAAAACCATCAAATGACAACTCCATTGATCACTGCTCTTTATGAACACATGTTAAAATAGAAGATAGCAAAAATATAAATCATCTTAGGAAGGTTGAGTCTGTTACAATCTTGTTATTTATTAAATAAATAGTGGGTTTTTTTTGTTTGTTTTCTTAAAATCAAGGAAATATCTTACCTGTAGACTCCCATTACTACGGTACCAGGTCCAATTTAAAGGAACACAATTTTGACATTTACATGTCAAGACAGTAGAATCCCCGACATAAGAGATCAATGGCTTGTTTTTCCCATGAAGTTCAGGGACTAAGAATAAAACAGAGAAATGTATGCTACTGAAAGAGTTTAGGCAAATGAAATGTATTAAATTTGTTGATATTGTCTCCTTTCATTTTTTCATTAATACATTATTTTATACACTTTAAGTTATATATAAATGAAACTAGTAGTAGTAATAATAGTAGATAGATTCAATATAATTGTCTCCAATGTACAGAAATGGAAGGTCTTCTATTATTGAGCCTAACAACAAAAGTATTGTTACTTTTGGGATAAGTTACATGTTTTGGATAAGAAAGGGGCTTCATGTTTTCAAACCTGTTCTTTCTTCCTACCTACTAAGCTATCTTACAATAATTATGTTCTTCAAAATTTTAGCCTTAGGTAGCATTTGAGTGAGAAGACAAAATTTCCAGGATAGGAAATCTTTAGTTGATACTAATTTATGAGGAGCCAGCAAAGAGTTGGAGAAGGTGGGAACAAGGAACAAAGGAAAATTAACAGAAAGAGAACAGTGTAAGAAAGAAAATAAGATTTAAAAACACTTTCATGTGGTTTTGTAAAAAATATATATACTAACATCTATTATGATAAATTTTCTAGTCAAGAAAGTTTGAAGTAGATTCCATTAGAAACAGAATACAAATGAGCACTGAATTTAGAAAAAAGTGAACTTTTTTTTTAAGTTTATTTTATTATGTCTAAGGATGTAAATAACTTGGTAAAGAATATTAAAATATAAGAGCATAAGCAGCATAATGAAAATCCTATGATGCAATCAGATCCTTCTGATTGACCCTGAAGGATGTATTATAGAAGGTAAACTTACACTGAAAACGTAGACTCATCAACAAACATTATTTTGTTGATTTTTTTTGTTTTACTTTTTCTAATTTTAACAGGTTTTTGCTTTTTTGGTTTTGTGTGTCTGTGTGTGTACACACATGTGTGTTTGTGTGTTTACTTTTTTCATTTATATGTTTAGTTTGCCAGTAGGGAAAAAGAATAGGTAAAATCATAATGTCAGCTAAGGACCTGAAGATAAGCAGAAATTGGAGCCTGGCTAAAATAGAGATTATTTTCTGAAGCCACAAGGTTCCCTATAGCCTCAGAGGGAGGGCAGCCACACTTTTTTTTTTTTTTAAGAGAAAATTTCTGTAGTACTGTTTTAGTATAAGTGTGCTGACTATAAAATACTTATAATCAATTTTAAAAAAAGAGAGAGAAAGAAAGAAAAGATTAAAAAAAATGAAGGAGAGGAAGAAAGAGGAAGAGGAAGAGGGAGAGAGAACGGAAATGTTGCTTTATTGCCCAGGGTAGAATGCAGTCTAAAAATGGGTATTGAAAACCTCTTTTATGCTTAATAATGGAAACAGGAAAAAAAATAAAAAATAAAAAAAAAATGAGGGAAGAAAATAACAAACAAGCAGCCAACCAATATTCATTTAAACCTGTGAGTAGGTGTGATGTAGTACTGATAAGAGTGTGTATTTTGTGTATTTAAAGTGGAGAGTTCTATAAATGTTTATTAAGTTTACTTGTTCCATATCTGAGTTCAAGTCCTGGATATCCTTGTTAATTTTCTGTCACATTGATCTGTCTAATATTAATGTTGAAGTCTCCCATTATTATTGTGTGGGAGTCTAAGTCTCTTTATAAGTCTTTAAGAGCTTATCTTATGTATCTGGGTGCTCTTATACTAGGTGCATATATATTTATGATAATTGAGTCCTGTTGTTACTTTGATCCTTTTACCATTATGTAATGTCCTTTGTTTCTTTTAGTCTTTGTTACTATTAAAGTCTATTTTGTCAGAGACAAAAGTTACAACTCCTGGTTTTTTGTTTGTTTTTTTTCTCTCCATTTGGTGAGTCTTCCTCCAACCTTTTGTTTAGAATCTTTGTGTGTCCTTGCTTATGAGATGTATCTGGACACAGCACTTCTGGCAGCCACACTTCTGAGTTCCAGGTGAAGAGGCACAAGAGAGGCACAAGAAGCATTATTGCATTATTGGTGCAATGATGTCTAGAACCCTGTTAGACTAGCCTTAAACACTGCTTTGAAGTGCAGGCTTGTGTTGGACACTAAGTAGTTAAGGTCACAGTTTCCGCTTTCCCAGGTTGTTTATCTCTCAGAGATCCTATTTCTCAATCTCTACATCTTTCTTTCTGGCAGTTGAGTCATGCTTTAGCAGGAAAATATGTGTTGAAATAGGTTCAAAATGCTGAAATGTACCCACAGGCTAAGAGTAAAATGTGGAAGAAAGGTAATCTTGGGGAAAAACCTGGTGGAACATACAAATGTTCCATACAAAATGTATGCCTTGGAAGCTGCAAGGTGCTTTTCAAGAAAGTGGGGTATTTTATGAGATTTGATGAAGAACACATAACTATGCTATTAAATCATCCCAACTGAATATTAAGATCAGGCTGTAAATTGCAGGTAACTGACAATGACTACTGACAACATGGAAAAGTTGAGACCAAAGTTCTGTTTTCTTGCCATCTCTTCGGTTTTCTTGATTAAATGACTAAAATACCATTAAACCATACTTTTGTTCTGCTATACATGGTTAACAACAGCAGTGTGAATTTAAATTATAAAATGTACCATGTTCATGGAACATGACATTTGTTTGAACTATTGTGGGGTTTGGGGCCACAGCTTATATTTGGAAATATTTATTAATATAAGGACAGTGAGATAGTATTCTAATGTGCCCTATTGACCTTTTCAGATTTTGCATAAAGTAGGATGCATAAGAGTGCTGGGGTTGGAATAAACCAGGTTTGAAGGTGGTGAAATTGCTGATTCAGGCCAGTGTCTAGGAAGATGGGGTTTGGATCTACCCAGTGAAAGTATCAGCTCTCTAGAGTTGTAAAATTGGAGACTATATTTGTATATTCATGAACAAGGACAAATTGGCCTAAATATCATGTTAGTTCAAAGACTTTTAGGTGTCACCAAATTAGGAAAAAAGATTATTCCAAATAGTCAAAGACAGCTAACTATACTTCAACACTGGGATTCAGGGCTGAAGTCCCAGCTGATTCTATTATGCTACCTTTCCATACTTTGAATTTTTAGATGCTCCCAGGGAAAGACAGATAGCTGAGTCATGCAGGCTTCATTGCATTTGGTACTATCAAAATCTCATCATGACTTCCAAAAAGTCTTTTTTGGAAGAAAAATTAAATTTCTGCATACTTTCTACTAAGAGATTTTAACATTGATAAATATCATGGAAGCTTTCAGCAACTACTCAGAATATTTGACCCACTACTGAGAAACACTACAGACCATCACTCAACTTTCTCTTTCTTGAGTGACAAGTAATCAGCAACATATTAGCAGTCACAAGCTTCCAGTGTACATTTTTGCTGTTTCTTCTGTCCTGGTATCAACAATTAAACACGTGCATTAAACTAATCAGTAATCTTGAGTGACTTTTACAATCTTATAGTAGTAAAGTAGTAAATCAGCTGGTTCCCATAAAGACAGAGGCAGGGACTTTGCTGATGAATTGTTCTGAAGGCTCGGGCTCATGCACTATATAGGTGGCTCATGTAGTCAATGGCAGAAAAATTTATCTTTGGTTCAATTTAAAATAGAGAATAATACAGGCTTTTCGTCCACATGCAGCTGTAATGCTTCTAAGAAAAGATAATTATTATTCTTAGGAAAAACCATAAGTAAACCATATGGAGAAATAATATAATAGGACATTTATAAAAATAAACATCATGTTATAAGCCTTTCAGACCTATTAAACAACTATAATATAATATGCAGATGTCTTTAAATTCTACTCAAGTAAAATTATTTCTTCAAGCAATATTCAATTTAGATGAATTATAGAGAATTATTATTTTACCAAAGATGATTTGAAAGGACCCAACTTACTAATTTTATAAATATTTTCAAGATATAATACATACTTAAAAGTTACATTAATGTTAAATGGGCATTAAAAACAAAGTAGCTAACCTAAATTGCTTCAAGACAACTAGAAAAGAAAAAAAGTAAATATTCAGTGATTCTTTGCTTTCCTTAAAGCCTTGATTTAAATCCTAGGCCTTTGGTCAATGCTCCTGACACCAGCCAAAATAAGCTTAGTTATCTCAAAACAGCTGTCAAGAGGCCTTCCCTATCAATACCTGGCATTCAACATATTGGTATGCTGAAAAGTAAAACGCTTGTTAATCTTCGCATTAAACACAAGAATGATCACTTCCACATAATAATTTAAGTAATAATGAAAACTTATAAGAAAAATGTATTATCTTCAATATTTAAAGCAGGTATGACTAGTATATATTTCCAGAGCACAATGTCTTAGAAAAAAAAAAAAACAAAAACAAAATGAAAACAGTGTTTACAGTTGAATATCTTGGGAGCACTTTAAGTCACAAGATTCTGTGAGCATTTCCTCAGGATTTGTAGGCCTTCCTTATATATTTTTTAAAAACTCAATAAAATATGTTCACTAAAATTTTGTGTATATATTTAATATTATTTTTGATCATTGGGAAGAAAGCAAAAAGAAACAGAAATAGAGGGAAAAAAGGAAGGAGGAAGGAAGGGAGGGAAGGAAATGAACTCGAAAGGTGGGACAGAAGAAAGGACAGGAAAAGACAGAGAAAGGAAAAGAGAGATTCAGGAAAGAGGAGGGGAAGGGCAGACGGGCAGGGGAGGGAAAAACGAAATGCAGAAGGAAAATGAAATGAAAAGGAAATGTATATGGTATTATCTGGTCCTTCACTAAGTTAAAGGCAAATGGAGGGGGAAAGGTTAAGAAAGAATATACATGATTAAACTAATCAAAGAATGATACTAGTTTCTGCTTTTGGAGAAACCAAGATATATAAATACAATAATTTATTATATTTACCACATTGGAACAATTACAAAACCATAAGAAGAAAATGAGTCTGTGAGTGCAGAAGGGATGCAGTGAGGGATACAAGAGTGAACCATTAGATCACAGAAATGGTGAAGCAAACCATTCTGCTATTGACGGAGCCTTGAGGATAGAATCCACATTCTGTCAGAGAAGACAGTCGGACTTCAGGATGTTTAGGAAACGTAGAGAACACTCTTCATGTTCCCTGGGAAATTAGTGCAAAGCAGAGTCCAACATAGTCAATATGGCAATAGATTGCATTTCCCAAATACCAGCATGGATACTGTGGTTCACTAATTACCACAAAATACTGGGTTTTTCATAATGATAATTATTTAACTCAAACAACTAGTCTTTATTATGAGATTGAAAACTTCTTGAGTTTTGGTTTAATGGCAGTACCAGTAAAATATTTTAATTTGTTTGTTTCCAAGGAGGAGAAATGTCGATGATATTCTGGGGCTTTTATGTACCTTTAAACCTCCTTACTTGGTGAGATAAAAAGCTGCAACCTTTTGTGCATCTACATATTATTTTTCAGTTTTATGGATCCTAAAATACCATGTCCTGGAGCTATGGATATAGAACACCAACCCACATTCTCAGAGGCTGGGAGGACAATAACTTAGAAATCTGGAGGACTATTACAAAAGCTATGAATTTAGAGGGATAAATAAATAAAGAAATTTAGGCAACTGATATAATTCACCAATAATCTGGTAGGCTGGCCTTTTGAATTAAAACCTGTGCTGTAAATTGAGGCATAGAAGCAGGCAAAAATGGACTGGGCAGGAAAACAAGACTATTTTCAAGGTTGCCTCTTGTGACTCTGGAAAGCATATGATTTTCTTTCACCTACTTTTTTGTTTTGTTTTGTTTTTGAGACAGAGTTTCGTTCTTGTTACCCAGGCTGGAGTGCAATGGCGTGATCTTGGCTCACCGCAACCTCCACCTCCTAGGTTCAAGCAGTTCTCCTGCCTCAGCCTCCTGAGTAGCTGGGATTACAGGCACGTGCCACCATACCCAGCTAATTTTTTGTATTTTTAGTAGAGACGGGGTTTCACCATGTTGACCAGGATGGTCTCGATCTCTTGACCTCATGATCCACCTGCCTCGGCCTCTCAAAGTGCTGAGATTACAGGTGTGAGCCACCGTGCCTGGTGCTCTTTCAGCTACTTTATGTTTATTCTTGTAAAAATAATTTAAAAATTACAGGATTGTAAAATCTAAGAACATAATGCTAAAGTTATTAACTATTGCTCAAGTTATTAATACTGACCTTTGAAATTAAATGTTCCCTTTTGTTCTTTCTCCTCTTGAAAGAAACAAGAATAACTTCCCATTTGTTTGCTATTAATGATGGTGAACCTAAAGATAATTCAAGTTATTAGTATAGGCTTAGTTCTCAAGCCTTCTTAATGAAAATAAAAAGACTTAACCATTAATCAAAATTTAAAAATAGAAATAATTCTGTAAATATGCAAACATTAGCATGACATTCAAGTGGATGCAAAGAAAAGAATGCTGCATCAGCAAAAATATTTAGAATTAAGCTACTTTTGATAAGCAAGGTAGGATAAAATTTGTATACTCACCTGTACTGGGTATACAAGGTGCTTCCTGTTGCATTGACAAGATAATTATTCTCAAGTAGCTCATCGTCTTTTTTCCAAGTCACATTTACTGCATTTAGATCCCCAGATGTTGTGAACTGGCATGTGAGTTTTACGTTAGAAGGCCTTTCTAAAGTAATATTTTTTTCTACTGGCATCCTAGAATGTTCTATTAGCACAAAAGAAGACAAAATATGAAAGTTACACTTGAAGGAATCTAATATATAAAATCTTTATTAACAGTAGTGCTTTATTCACAATTTTTTAATGTAACATTCATGTGAAGAATTATTCCTCTATCAACATAGTTGGTTCCCTTTCTTACTCCCTTTTATATGCACACCTAAAGAAAAGTTTTGATCCAACATTAACACAGTCAAAAAAAATCCTAAGGCTGTGATATTTATCTCCTTAAGCTCTGTACTGAGCAGGGTATAGGGTACAGAGTGCCCTAAAACATGCGCCCTATGCTCTGACAGTGTAAAAACACCACAACTGTAAACACAAACACACACTCATGGGTGACAATGGAGTGCCTGTTTTAACACTTTTGAGTAATCATGTTGTTGGTAGTTATTACAAGAATGTTTTGTGTGTAACATGGATTAGAGTGATATATTATATTCTAAACATTGCTAGTCTTCTTAAGAACCTGACTGGGCTCTGTGGCTCATGCCTGTAATCCCAGCACTTTGGAAGATTAAGGTGAATGGATCACAAGGTCAGGAGTTCAAGACCAGCCTGGCCAAGATGATGAAACCCAGTCTGTACTAAAACTACAAACAATAAAAAAATAGCCAGTCATGGTGGCAGGCACCTCTAATCCCAGCTACTCGGGAGGCCGAGGCAGAGAATTGCTTGGACCCGGGAGGCAGAGGTTGCAGTGAGCCGAGATCACACCATTGCACTCCAGCCTGGCCAACAGAGCAAGACTCTGTCTCAAAA